GCTTCCATGTGTTTATCTAAGCTCTGACTGGATGTGGCTTTCCTTCCCTCTAACTATGTTACTGTTGTGTTGTCTTTGCTTCAGGGCTTCTAGTTCAAAGAGCTCTCTTCCTTTCTGTAAATGTTTGTCCACGTTTCATTCAGGGAAGTTTAACATGGTCTTGACAGGACATTCACCAGGCAAATGAGAAAGTGTTTTTGGGTGGTTTATGTGGTCGTTGATTGCATTTAATATGTTTAATTACCGGGTCAGGATTAGTCTGTGTGTATTTGAGTTAATTATAAGACATAACGTGATAAGTCATTACTCATGAGTACTCTTAATCGTTTCCACTTGCCAGAGGAAATTCATTCAGAAAACTGTATGACAACATAAGTAAAAACACATTTCTATTAACCTAATAATAACCAGTCTTTAGCATCTACTATACACTCACCGCAGACACATTGTGAGTACATGGTCCAACATTTCAATTTGAAGGTTCTTTATGGTCATTTCGCCATAGTCGTTTGCAATGAATTAAATCCTTACAACTCAGGGTTTACTAAAATACACTAAGAAGTTGTCTGTTCACTTTTTCTGCTAAGTATATTACAAAAACCTGTTTTTAACGAGCTAAAATAAGCATAATATCACAATTAACATTAATTACGGATGTGCCCTGCTAACTAAGCTAAGCTAGCTAGCTAGTCTTTGCGTAAGCTCCACCTTTTGTCACCAAATATGGATACTTCTTGATACAAATAACCAAGGTATTTACAACCAAAATGCCAAAATATAAGCCTAAAATCAGTAATCCAGAAAACCAAACAGTGACGTGGCAGTGATTCTGTCTTTTGATACATTAATATAAAAGTAGGATCAGCTTTAAGAAAAGCACAATACATTGTTATGCTTACAGTCACACTTAAAAGCAAAACGTCCCAATCCATTGTAACGGGGAAACTTCATCCTGACTTAATTATTTACCTGGCACGCACATCACCGTCCTCACTCACTGTTAACGATCTTAAAAGCTATTGTAGTATAATGTCATCATTTTGGGGATCCTAAATGGCTGAAAGGCAGCCAGCTGGTGATCTTACCAAACTGAGGCTGTTTCTCATTAGTCCTGCTGGGCCACACAACAACAACCGAGTGAATCATAGCAGCGAGAGGTGACGGTCGCTCCTGCTGCACACTAATAAATCCTGTAGAGAAATGCCTCATCAGTTACCGTGTGTCTGTCAAACAAATCCAAGGCTGAGACTAATGTGGAAAAGCTGTTGGAGCTAAAGAACTTCACCACTATTTTTGAGTTAAAAAATGTAAAGATGAACAGTTTAGTTGACCTGGAAAAGCGGGACACTGCAAGTAAACAGCTGTGGAATATTCTTTACTTCCTCTAAAAACATAACAAGTTTTTTCTTTAAATGTATGACCGAACACACTATTTAAAACTAATTGTCTTTATGGAAAATGTCCTTTTTAGACACCAATTTAGTCCGATACTTTTTGTGTGTATTCCATTGTTAGTTGTCCATTTCTTTTCTGTTTTGGAGGGTGATATCCAAGAGGGTTGAAGACTCTATGGTTTGGTGACCTAAGAGTAGAGGTGGGAAGTAGTGGAGTACAAATACTTCGTAACTGTACTTAAGTACATTTTTCTGGTATCAGTACTTTACTCCACTACTTATTTTTCTAATGACTTCTAACTTTTACTTCTCACATGTTGAACACAAATACCTGTACTTTCTACTTCTTACATGTTGAACACAAATACCTGTACTTTCTACTTCTTACATGTTGAACCCAAATACCTGTACTTTCTACTTCTTACATTTTGAACACAAATACCTGTACTTTCTACTTCTTACATGTTGAACCCAAATACCTGTACTTTCTACTTCTTACATTTTCCAAACAGGCTGGTTCCTTTAGTTTGAATGTGTGTTTGGTGGCGTGATCATTATTATTTAGAGTCATTGCGTGCCTATTGATTTGAACACGATCCGTGTATCCATCATTTCCTGGTCTTCTCTAAAGAAGAGGGACCAATGAAAACGTTGTCATGTTGCCGTTGTTCAGCATGGAAACATTCATTAGCTAACAATGACATTATTGTTCTATTAATATAAAGGGAGGTCAGGTACTCTTTAAAACAGCTGCTAGTTATGGGTACTTTTTACTGAAGTACATTTCAAAGCCCTCTTTACTTTGACTTGAGTAAAGAAGTTTAGTCAGTACTTCTACTTTTACCAGAGTATTTTTAAACACGAGTATCTGTACTTCTACTTGAGTAAAGGATGTGTGTACTTTTGCCATCTCTGCCTAAGAGTAGAGAGCTGTATATTTACAGAGAGGACGAAGGGGGAAGAGGTTCTCGCGGACTTGACCGCACAACACCGGACACCAGATCCAGATTCTTACAGGACATGTAGATCCTGGTCTTAATTTAATTCCTACTTCCTGTGATTTCCACTCGCTAAACTCTTTCATTATTCTTTTTTTTTTTGGTTGCCTCCAGGCCAGTGTAGCCATGCATTACTGTAACCACAGAGGACATGCTTGGTTGTAGACTGTGTGTTAACTATGCATTGTATTTATATGGATTGAGATGATGGCATGCATTAAACACAACAAGCGCAGACACACGCAAGCTTTAACAATAGGTTTGGTCTGGATGTGTTGCTGGTGACATCAGGTCTTTTTAAGGGAGCGTCTGCAATGCCTGATGAATTGTTTTCAGACAGGAAACTAACAGTCGGTTTATTCTACATGTCTTTCTCCAAACATGGGATTTATTTAAACCCTTTTCTCAATTTGTAGGGAGATTAACAACAGGGGAATAGGGGAATCAACTAAATATATTACTATGAAACTTCCCTAGTTCATTACCTACATTAAGACAATCATTTTCACATAAATAAACTTGAATAAAGTTTTGCGAAATTCTATATAAATGAAGCATTATATAATGGAACATTGTGGTGATTTGGGGAGAAATCAAGACACAATTCGAACATATTAGTCAAATAAACGTTTTGTATTTTGCATGTTTTCCTACCAAAAGCCTGAAAGAGTACATGTTGTAGAAGCAGAATACCTTTTTTAAATTATGTTTTTGCCTGTAGTGTATTGCCTTTCATCTCTCCTTTCGTCCTTCTCATTCCTTTCCAAAAATCCCACCTACTTAAACATCGTTTTATTTACCTTACTGATCATATTTTCTTAATATTAAACCACTTCCCTCCAAACAAAGTCAACGACTGACCTGAGCCTTTGTGTCAACGGTGTGTTTTCTTTGTGGGCGAAACATTTTTATAAGACCGTTGGGGTTCCTTTTGTCCCACGCACACAGTGGGCTTCCTCTCTCTTTTTCCTTTCGAAAATAATTTGGAGGTTGGAGGAAAACTAAACCCAACGTTTAAATGTCCCCCTCTCTCATTACAGCGCCTACACCACCACAGGAGGAGCTGACGCCCCTCATGTCTCCTCCTAAAGTCTACATGGAGTGAAAGATAACTGAGGTTTGATAACAGAATACATATCGCGAGTTACAATAAATGCATTTTAGTACGTGAGAAGGGTTGAGGAGAAAGTTTATAATCTCTTGTTGTAAAGTTCAGTCCGGAAGTGTTACTCATAACATTAGATCTGATTCGTTGAACTAGGAGCATACATATCTTACGAGTTAATAGAGCATGGTAGAAGAAGGGACCTAGCCATATAACTTTAAAAACAACCCTATTATATGAGCCTTTTTTCAATGAGAGAAGAGACAGCTGTCCTGCAGGTTTTAAGCCTACTAGAGATGAAGAGGATCAACTTGTCGTCTGTTAAATCACATTTTACAAAGCCAGGTGACGTGACCAGACAGAGAATATCACAAAATGTAAGTAGAACATTTTTTACAGAGAAAAGCAGTCACATTTTTCCAATGTTAAATCATTTCCACATGCTAAAACGCATCGTTAAAAACACCTCTCTGGCAGCAAACTGCTCACGTCCATTTTTATATTTATTTCACTTACTGATACAGACGAAATGTACAGAACAAACTGGGGAGTTAATGAATGCAGAGGTCAGTGTGGGCAGGGAAAGGGAAAGGAGAGAGGGAGAAGGAGAGGCTAAATTCACACACATGGTTCTAGTTAGTGGACTCCCATTAAGGACAATGTGGTCTGGAAGAAACTTTACATTTCACAGTCTAAGGGCATTTTAAGACACTTCTGCCCGCCACTGAAAAGTCACTTTCAGTCATTTCATATACGAATAAAACACACTGTGCAACTGAAAATATGCATAAGAGAATACAACAATAGCAAATTGGTATGGTGAAAAAGGGACATTGATAGTGGTTTAAATAAAAATGTAATGTATACACAGGGAACAATAGGCACTTTCACACCGGAGTACTTTTACTCGTACGTTTCCCGTTTAGTTCTGTTTGCGTTCACACCAAAAAGAGAACTTAGTTCAGAGAACTTGTACCCCCATTTTTAGTGCCTGCTAGAGAGGTGGGACTATCCTGGGGAGAAGAAAGTACCAATTTCTGATTGGCTGGGCGAATTGCAAACCACGCCCTGTAAAACTCTGAAAAGTTTTTTGAAGCCGCCATTGTATTTGCTGGCATTAGCATTATTAGCATTAGCATTAGCTCCGCGCACCAACGGAGAGAGAATAACTTATGACATGGGAGCGGTGGAGAGATGAGGAGGTGTCGGCGTTCTGGCGATTTACTCTGAAGGCTTCAGTAGAAGCTGCTGGGAGTCCCAGCAGCTTCTACTGAAGCCAGTCCCCAACTCCGGGGACTTCCGGCCGGGGACTTCGGGTGGCAGTATACGCCGTGAAGTGGTTTGCGGCCTGCCAGTAAACCACAAGCAGAAGAAGACGAAGTGACGTCAGCGGCTTCATTTGCGTAATCTTCCCTCAGGGAACTTATTCCGGTGTGAACGCGATCTGCTCTTTAGTTCCATGGGGGTACTAAGTGCCGGGAACTAAGTGCTGGGAACTAAGTGCTGGGAACTAAGTGCTGGGAACTAAGTACGGCAAAGTACTTGGTGTGAAAGCGGCTAATACATTTAAACATTTGCGGTAATAGTTAGAAATCTGTATTTGTTGGTGTCCACTGGTTGGCAGCCATGTTAGAAGTAGGCTTTTGTTCTACTGCTGATTGAGAGAACAACAACTCGACTTAGTTGACATTTTCAAAGATATAGAGAGCTGTCTTTTCGTGATGGTATACTGACTTTTTTAGTAAATCAATACATGTCAGCTGTTAGCTACCTGGTGCCATGCAGTTGTTCTGATGGCCGATAACAATTTTTAAATGTCCAATTTCCATTTGTCCTACAGCCTGTTATTCCGGCCATTGATCCGAAATATATCCAACCAACTAAGACAACAAGAAACAGCCAATCAGAGCCAGAGTAGGGCGGATCATGACGGCGCTATTGTGGGGACGGTTTTTGGTCATTTCAGAATAATGGGCCATCAAACAATCCCCAGCTACTTAAACATAGTTTATATGACTTAAAATACCACATATAAATTGATTTTTAAATGTTTTACTGAAGAGACAAATAATTTTAGTTGGTGACTGACTACTCTAAATATTGGTTACCAGATAAGTAGCTGGTTTAGCTAAAGTTTGACGTAAAGGGTGGTCTTCCGATGGCATGCAGCGAAAAGTGAGACTTATATCTGCGGAGGGCTTCATATGCATGGATTATTCCACGTGAGATAGTGGAGGTCTTGGGGGAAGGGAGGGTGCCTTTATGTCTGGGTATCAAGTTCAGTGTTAAAAAAGCTCTCCTTTGCTTTTCCATGCCTGAATCCAAAGGATCATTCAATGGAAAAAGAAGCACTAAGCACTTTCACTCTCAGATTCACGGAAAGTGAGGAAGAGAGGAGATCGTATGAAGGCATGAGAGACTGCAGCTGATATGAATTCTTATCTCAAACAACGAAATCAGCTTTAGATTTGAAGTAGACATTAACGTGAAATAGTCCAGGCACAGTTTCTAAAGTGTGTCCCTGTTTATAGATCAGGTGCTGCATAGTTTGAAGCACATTGAATGTATAGTCTGAGCCTTTTTAGGAGTAAGTCTACATGGATATCACGCCTGCACGTGACTCCACCCTCGGATGTAAACAACGCTCTCGCTAACGGCCTGTTTAGTTGATGTTGGCACCAGATGAAAGAGCTCGCATGGTCTTGCGTACTTGACTCTGGGTGAGGTCGGTGGGCTAATAGCTATTTAAATATCAACTCTGTGGAGATGTGGTCGTTATGAACTGCAGGCTGACACACAGAAACACACCGATAATGCTGGGAACACTGCCCACTAAATCAACAAGTAAATATTTAATCTGTTCACATTTGAGTATCCTCCACTCCGACTGTCACGATGGACAAATCTGGTCTAAATCTGTGCAAGTTTAAGCAACGCAGAATTCAAACATTGTTGCAAAAAATGTCCCTTTGAATCAGAAAAGCAAGTATTATCAAAGAACATATAAAATCCTATGTACACATTACGTCATCATTTTGACACATGACACATTTTGCCGTTCAAAAACCGTTTGAATACAAAATAATACAGACTATAAATAGACAATGCTTTTTACATAAGGCACAGTTAGTAGTGGTGTGTGTGTTTGTCTCATAGCTGCTGATCCCCAAACAGTATCTGAGCGTAAACAGTGCCGTTACACGACGCCTTGGGTTCAGGAATTGGTTTCACGAGATCCAGCTCAGCGTAGGTCAGATTCTCCTCCACTATCTTCGGCTGGAGGTGGAGGAAAAAGCAACAGAGAAGAAATAATGATGGAGGAGAAGGGGGCAGAGGGAAAGGAAGTGGTATTGGTGGTTAGAAAATAAGCAGGGATGTCAAACTCTAACATTCATCTTGAACAGAACATGAGTACAGACAGAACATCTTTTAAAACTGAAGTTAGCAAGCAGAGACTCCAAACAGTTAAAAGTGTCTCCTCTTTTTGGTTTCCCAAAGCTTTATAGGTTTGGTTTCGTAACATTTTAGCTGATTGGACCCAGAGGCCACCTAACAAGAGTCTTGGGTTTAGGTCAATCTTCTATTGCCGCAGTTTTTGCCATTAAAATGCCAAGCTGCCACTTTAGTCAAGTGACAATTTAAACCAAATTAAACCTTGGGTATGTGGCACATTTTATGACACTTTCTGGTACTTTTGATTAGAGGCACATTCTAGTTGCTCTCCATTCAATGTGACACAACAACAATGCCTTGCTTGGTACAGTTTGAAGCAATGCATTCATGAACTATTACAAATAATTTCTCCGAAGTGATATAAGCCAATGCCTCCCATATACAGTAGGTTAAAACATGCAGAAATAAGTACTTGGTAGTTTCCTTTATCACTGGGCAGTTATGAACGTTGTATGAAAATGGCATGCAGAACTCACCAGGACTACTTTTCTTGGTTGTGGTTTTAAAAGTTTGGGTTTCCGTGTTTTGTCTCCAATGGGAGCTGCAGGGACAAAACAAAATTCAGTGGTTTTTGCAGGGGTCTGAAGATTTATTGTATATATTTATGTGTCGAACTACAACCAGACCTCCTATCATATTTATGTGTGAAACAAGAACCAGACCCCCATTCATAACCACACACTTGAGAGGCAGCTTCCCTCTTTACAAAGTGTTTCAAACAGATTGTTATTGGATAAAAAGGAACAGAAGTTGCAAATAACAGCAAAAATAAACGTCTGCCCTTCAACAGTAGGGAATTTAGGAATTTGGAAACTCTACCACATCACGACAATCATGAAGATGGTACTGAATTCGAAATAACTCCCGAAAGGTTTTTGACTTGGGTGGATAAAAATGATCCATTACATTCCCCATGGTGCTCCATAACTCAAGAGTTTATAAGTGGAAGGGGCGGATGTTGACCTCAAACGCCAGAATGTATTCGTGTTTAGAAAGCAAAGCAGAGCAACACCTCAATTTGGACTCATGCTTTTCTGCTGGTGTTCCTCCCCAGACGTGGGAAGTAGTGGAGTACAAATACTTCGTTACTGTACTTAAGTACATTTCTCTGGTATCAGTACTTTACTCCACTACTTATTTTTCTGACGACTTTTTACTTTGACTTCTTACATTTTGAACACAAATACCTGTACTTTCTACTTCTTACATGTTGAACACAAATACCTGTACTTTCTACTTCTTACATGTTGAACACAAAGACCTGTACTTTCTACTTCTTACATTTTGAACACAAATACCTGTACTTTCTACTTCTTACATGTTGAACACAAATACCTGTACTTTCTACTTCTTACATGTTGAACACAAATACCTGTACTTTCTACTTCTTACATTTTGAACACAAATACCTGTACTTTCTACTTCTTACATGTTGAACACAAATACCTGTACTTTCTACTTCTTACATGTTGAACACAAATACCTGTACTTTCTACTTCTTACATGTTGAACACAAATACCTGTACTTTCTACTTCTTACATGTTGAACACAAATACCTGTACTTTCTACTTCTTACATGTTGAACACAAATACCTGTACTTTCTACTTCTTACATGTTGAACCCAAATACCTGAACTTTCTACTTCTCACATTTCCCAAACAGGCTGGTTCCTTTAGTTTGAATGTGTGTTTGGTGGCGTGATCATTATTATTTAGAGTCATTGCGTGCCTATTGATTTGAACACGATCCGTGTATCCATCATTTCCTGGTCTTCTCTAAAGAAGAGGGACCAATGAAAACGTTGTCATGTTGCCGTTGTTCAGCATGGAAACATTCATTAGCTAACAATGACATTATTGTTCTATTAATATAAAGGGAGGTCAGGTACTCTTTAAAACAGCTGCTAGTTATGGGTACTTTTTACTGAAGTACATTTCAAAGCCCTCTTTACTTTTACTTGAGTAAAGAAGTTTAGTCAGTACTTCTACTTTCACCAGAGTATTTTTAAACACGAGTATCTGTACTTCTACTTGAGGAAAGGATGTGTGTACTTTTGCCATCTCTGTTCCTCACTGACAACATTGATAGACTCTTATTCACCTTTTGCTGGTATCTCTGGAGGTATCTCCTCTTGGTAGTCTCTGCTTCTCTTCTTTCTGTACCTCCTCTCTTTCTTAGGCAGAGCAGGAGACATATTGATCATGCTGGTGACGGTCTCTCCTGAGCTGTAGTGAGACCAGAATACAAGAGGTTAAGTGTCAATAAGAACATTTGAGCGTCTGTATACTTCTATGGCTATGTGTGAAGAGGCTTTTGTCGCCCTAACATCTTACCTGTTCTGAGAGCTTTTGACCAAGAGGTAATTATCTGCAGATATAAAACACAACACATGTCATTTACAAAATATAATAACTGAGACTGAACTAGCAAAATGCATCGAAAGAAACGAGAGGTGGGTAAAGGAATGAAGATACAGACAAAGAAAATCATATAGAAACAGGGCAAAAGGTAAAATGGAGACATCAGAAAAATCAAAAGTCAGTACTTATTATTCCGATGGCCCATTTTTCCCAAACTGCAAAAGTTTAAATTTGTTTCCCAATGGACGAGGCAAAAAGAGCATTTGTCCAATGGCCCGTAATCCAGAAAAACAAACATCCGATTGGTCCACACATCATTCTTTATAATAATTAACCTTTCCCTACTGTTTATTGAAAGGACAATGAGCATTTTTTGGAGCAATGGCCGTTTTTTTGTGGGCTATTGTACAAATGGGCTATTGATCCAATTAGATACTTTTCGAGTTATTGGGCCATGGGAACAATAGTCGGTCCTGGAGTAAACTTGACGTTGCTGCTAACCTTTTAACCTCTGCTTCCTCTGTATGTACTGACATGTTACTGTCACCGTGAACATGCACATACACAGCAAACCAACTGAGCAGATCAGCACTGCACACAGGTACACATCTGAAACACAAAAACATGTACATCCTGATGTTTATCACTTTACGATGCACAAAGGTCTGAAGGAAAATCACAAGGACATGTTTTGCTGAGCTATTTCAAGACACTCTACTTTGTCCTTTGGGTTGGAATATGTCTGCATGCCAAGGACGATACAGTGCATGTCCGCCACAAACATCCACACACACACATACAAAATGACGACTTACCTTCAAACAAGCTCCACAGGCTTTCTTTGGTTTTGGTGGCCGGTAGGACATGCACTACATGGAGAAAGAGAAGATAAGTATGTCAGGTCCATAGTCATCACTGTGGCCTCCCTGTCGCCTGATTACACACTGGCTGGAGTTTAAATAAAGCTAATTGTAGCCTCCTCCCTGCATCTCTGAATCACTGTCCAGAGGGCTCAACTTCAACATTTGGAGGATGAAATAATGCAGTTGGTTTGGAGTTATGCATCATAGTAAACCTTCTCCTCACATCCACCGATGCATGGCGGTCCCACTTTTTCTTCTTCCCTCCTCATGACTAACAGGACAACCTGTGACCACTTTTGGCGATGTACCACCTCAGAATTTATTCTTTTGTGACATCAACAACATGCACATTAAACGTTTGCCAAGAACATTGAGATCCCAGTCCATTTGATTTACTATCATTCAGATTGTTGAATTCGGAAACTGAGGTTCCCAGTTAACCATGAATGGCAGTAAGTCAAAGCTATCTCATTAGCTAATTATTATCTGCAAGAATAAAATGACAGAACACAGTAAATTGGTGAAAAATAAGTTGAACTAAAACAAATGGCCCAGGATTCAAACTCGGGATGTTTCCATGACTTAAAAAACATTGTTTTTCATACACAAGATTTGACCCTTTTCTGCTTCCATAACATCTTCTTTCATACAAGTGGAAAGAAAACCTCAAAAATACACGTTACGATTTTTATTTGAGAAACTCTATCCTTTGGTCTGTCAAATTAAATCCTAAATCACACAAAAGGTGGCATAAAGTAATGCTAAGTATTCATATTTGAACACATTTCTTAAAACTTGAAATCCCCCAAAAATGTAGTGAGATTTTGAGTGATCAAATAGTTGTTTCATGGTGGTATTTTGTATGTTACTTAGTCTTTTCAATGTCATCATATCTTAAATGTCTTAATGTAAATCTCAGCATGAAGCAGATAACGGCGACACCACAAAAACCCAATTTTATCACCGGTGGGGAATCAAAGGCATGTGAACGCAGCCTTAATCTGTGTAATGAGAATCCCAGTTATGTGCTTCTCGTGTCCAAAGTGTCTGAGAAAATGTGTTTCCCTGAATCTCTTCCCACACACACACACACACACACACACACACACACACACACACACACACACACACACACACACACACCACACACACACACACACACACACACACACACACACACACACACACACACACACACACACACACACACACACATTTCGTCACCCCATGTGACCACGGTAGTCTTAACACGGCTGTTCTCTCGCTGTGCTGGTGGCAGGAAGCTTGTGAAGTGACACCCAGCAGGGCATCTTAAAATACCCCAAACCACCAGGAGCTGACGACAGGAGACTTTCCCACAGGAAGACTGTCTGTGCTGACTGGAGGAGCTTCTACAAAGTAGCAGCGATTAAGTGGATCCTCCATGGACAGTTCTTGTGTACAAAACTAAAGCATAAACTCTAAAAACGAAGTAGCCAGAATCTTCAAATCAGTTCCTTTTGAGATTGATTTCCTGTTGCAGTATATAAGCAAATGCGCTATTTAACAAATAAGACATTTAAAGTGGTCAAAACTATTTCAAAATAATGGCTGTGGAGGTAAATTTGATGTATCGTTCGAAATAGAATTGGCCAAAGTAAGTTATTTTAGCGAATAAATGGTAATTTTAACCTCAACTCAAGCATGGGATTTGCAGAAGTAACTAGATAAGAGGTATATTTAATCCGTCTACTCATCGCTCCAGGATGTGACCTACCTAACATTATGAAATAAAGACAAAATCCATATTTACATCCAGTTTTCGACATTGTTTTCCACCGTTTGACGTTAGATTGGCACTCTTAATTACGTCATTTGTTTCGCTATCTTCTTATGCAACGGTATAAACATTTTCCCACTGGAGAAAAGATGCAAACTACTGCCTATCTTAATCAACAAACTCCTAGTAAATGCATTATACTAGTAGATACATACAACATGCATTCATTGACTTTTTTAAATGCTGATTTTCTAGAGATTCTGTTAAAATATTTCATAGATTTGGATGGAAACTTGGAGCGTGAATGTTGTAAATATACATTAGATCATCGGAGTATCTGTGGTAACTCAACATGTATATTTTCTAGTTTCTTGTTTATTTCTTGTCTTTTAATTTTTATTGTAATCAATAAAGTTCTATCTTATCTTATCTTACATTACATTACATTACATTACATTACATTACATTACATTACATGTCACTTGTAAGACGCTTTTATCTAAAGCGACTTACATACTCAATACTGTGGACAATCCCCACAGGAGCAATTTGGGGTGAAGTGTCTCAGGGACACAACGACATGCTGACTGCAGTGGGGTTTGAACCTGTGAACACCAACGCACAACCCACTGCACCACACGCCTCCTCTTATCTTATCTTAAAACCCTCTCTCCCTGCACAGTTAGGTTAGAGTCAGACTTTCTCCTACTTGTTTGAAATGACAGATTTAATTTAAAAACCCCGCCCTGCCTCCACAGTAAATTATTCACAGCGTAACTCCCGATAACATCCGTGACGTTTATGTGGTGTTTTTGCCTCAGATTCTGCTCTGCTCTGTCAGTGAGGCAGCTGTACATCTTGGAATAATCAGAAATGGGATGAATCTGGTTCTTCTGTGTGCCATAAAACTGTCTTTCATTCTTATCTAGAGAATGGCTTCTTTTTAAAAGCTACTACACTGAATGGCTGCATCGGACTACAGTGGAAACATTCACACACACACATCTTTTTGTTCATCAGATCCACAGAGACTGAGTTTCAGATTGGTGGCTCTTTTCTTTTTTGTGCCCCAACAAACCCAACACTGTAAACATGAATACACAGAAATGTTCTGGAGTGTATAATGATCCTCTGTGTCTATCTCGACGGGATGTTGTGTGTCTTTACAAAGCTTTCAATGGTTCACCCTTTAACTTCCTGTTGCTTCTTTTCTTCAAAGAATTTGATTATATTAGTACATTTTGTTCCCCTATAATGGTGATTTACATAAGCCTAGTTTGTTGCCTTTTTAAAAAAAAACTCATGTCTGTGACCCCAAAACGGCAATATTTGTTGTTATTTTCTTGTAAAGATGCTAATAACATAATTTATAAGTAGCATATATAATATACAAATACTCAATATGTCACTCTAATGGCAATTTACATACGTCTATTAACGTTGGCTTCTAAAAAAAACGTACTACAGAGATGTTTGTGACCCCAAAACAGCAATATTTCAGATTCCTTTTTCATTGTAAAGCTGCCGATCCATCCAATTACTATTCATTATGCTATAACGTTGAATATTGTAATATTACTTGGACTAAATAAACAGATATTAAAGTGCATTCAGTTCTGCTTTTTTCTGCTGCTCTCAGTATAGCTCTAAAATATAACAAAATGCTCGTTCAATACAAAAAATGAAAGGAAATTACTTCCAACATTTGCTCAATATGTCACTATAATGGCAATCTACATAGGCCTATTTTTGTTGGCTTTTAAAGGTCCCATGTCATGCTTTTCTGGTTATTACCCGTCCCCTTGTGTTATGAAGGTTTGTCTGCATGTAAACGGTCTGCAGAGTCACAAACCCTCAAAGTACACCCTGTAGCGAGTACAACTCTAACACAGAAAATACCTGTCTATGCTGCCCCAGAACGCCTCGTTGGACATTTCTCTTTTTCCATTGTTTACTTCTTGGGTATAGTGACGTATTTGGGTATAGTGACGTTACGTCCGCGGAGCCGTTACGTTTGGACCAATCCGCGGACTTCCTCACACACACACACTCGGCGGGACGTTGCGAGGCTCGCTGCTGCGAGGAGCGGGACAGACTGGTGTGGGGTCGGCGAGACAGCGAGACACACACACAAACTCCCAGCCAGGCTGCAGGTGTGTGTGTGTTTCAGGCTGGGTTTCGCTGTGTCTCGCTGTCTCGCAGACGGCCACTGGGCTCACAGGGAGGGGGGGGCAAGAGCTCCAACAAGCCGTTTAGGACAGAGAGTGAATACACATACTATACAGAGATGCTGTATGAGAAACCAATGTACTAAATGTAATCTATTCTAGTAGACCTCAACAATGGAATTATGATCAGTAGAAATGGCCATGACATGGGACCTTTAAAGAAAACTTCAGAGATGTTTGTGACCCCCAGAACGGCAATATTTCAGATTTCTTCTTCTTGTAAAACTGCCAAAACAATACTATACTTAAACCCACGCCACATCCGTAATTTGTTCACCTCTTCCTGCTCTCTCCAGGCACTCTTGTTAACTTGCAGTCGCCCACATGTGCTAAAGAAATACCCAGCGATCCAGTTTGTTTATGCCAGGAGGAGGCTGAGTCCACTCTGCCCTCACTTTCCCTGCCGAACCCTGTGACCCCTCAGCATGTGTTTGTTATAGCAGCAGTCGGGAGAGTAATGGGAGTTCTGTGCGATTGTGGAAACACCTGGTCACCTAATGTTATCCGACCACAGGAATTCCACTTCTTAGACGTCACAAAGACACACATTTGTGCACAGAAAGTCCCAGTGATCTGCTGTTTCTCATGTGAAGTGGGGTCCAGGAGCAACGGTCCCACAGGGGTTTTAACTGAAGCTGATGTTTATCATGGCTGTCAACCGGTGGTGTTGATACTGGGAGGGAAAACCACCGCCTGCTGCTCTGCTGGATAGAAATAGTGCAGTTTTCCAGTGTTGTTGGAGCCATTACAATTACTCAATCTAGATCCTGGAGATTGTTTTCTATAGGGAACTCATCGGGTGACAAAAATGAATATTTTAGCTTTGAGTTTCCCCTTTAATGGATTTAAATCGACATGGGTAGGGTAACCAAAAAGCTTGCATGACAAACTGGGAGTGTGAAGTCTGAGAGATGGGAGAAATGGTCTATTAAGAGATGCTAATCAGTTGCATTGAGGGAAATGTAGGATCCAGCATTTTTTAAGCTAAACACCAACTAAGACCCTAAACTCACTCATATCTCAGGCTGTTTTCCTTCAATGTTGACCATTCATTTTATACATGAGTCTAGCTTGGAGATCATTTTGTTTCTCCTGAATTTATTATACTTTAATTTAGACTTAAATGGACAAGTTGACAATGACCTGTAAGACAAATTGGGGGTAAAAAGCTTCTAACAAAAGGAACTATCTAACAAAGGTTGCATATTTTGACAAGGGGTCTGTAGGATATACTGCATTTCATTTGAGCTAAACTCAGACTCCAGATATCAGAATATCTCACAACTTTTGGAAGTGCAATATATAATGAGTGAAGTGCACCTATTAACAGATTTTTACCTGGATATGACATCCCTTACTTACCAAAAAAGTTGTACTTTCACAAAAAACGTCTTATTTACTTCTTATCAGTCACACAAAATTGGCTTTTGAAACTTGTACTACCGGAAAACCGATGATGAAATGTCAGATTTGGATAAAATGAATGTAGTCCTAGCTTTAATTGACCACAAATACTTATTTATCCATTTAATTAAAAAACAAAGGGATTTACAGACGTGACGTACAGATGTTGTCTGTCTGTAACAAAGGCATAGGTGCGTATAGGTAGAAATAAAGCATTTGGTCAAATTTGAAAGCACCAAAGTAGGGTTGCTTATAAAGGAAATCCATTTATAACCAATAGGAAATCCAAATTACAAGATCTGTGTTTGGAGTAAACAAGGGAGGTATTTTGGGCTTCCTTTATTTTCCTCTGTACATGTATTGCCATTCATGTCATAATTGCAGTAGCCTTATTTATTAATATCTCAGAAACCACAATGGACCGGCGCTTCCTCGGATGAAAATAACTCTCCACATCCTCGACCTCAGAAGAGCCAGACAGCGTCCACTCTACTGTCACTGCAGACAAACACTCCAGCTTCACCTTCCTTCAGCACAACTATCTCTTGTTCCAGTTCTGCTGAGTCTCTCCGCACTCGGTCTGCTCTACTTCTGGGAGGGAAACTCTTTGTCAGAGCCAATGTCAACACTCTGGGCCCAGACTTGGCTCCGGACACCCCGAAAAGTCACAAAACCGGTAGGAACACATCCATGGAAAAAGTGGTGAGCAACGTCTTGTGTTGTTGAACTCTCAGTTATAAAGCATTGAATTTAAAAACAAAAGAATTGTCTCTAGATTGTTGCAAAGAGGACGTTTTGATGCCTTCATTTCTTACTTTCAAGCATCAACTTCAAAGAAAATCCTCTCAACCAGTTTTCTGCTGATATTTGACGCAACACAACACTGACTAAACACACATCCAACTCATGAAGGTTTCTGCATTGACTGTGAGTAAAGCTCTCTTTCTCTTGAAAAAAGCTTTAACCCTTATGTTGTGTTTGGGTCTCCCGTGACCCGTTTCAAGTTAAAATTATATAATAACTAAGCTCTAGTTTTTTTCATCGGAACGAGGCTTCATGATATCCTCCACAACAGCTATATAAACACTACAAAACAGATTTTGACCATTTTAGCCAAGTCTGAAGGTCTCTAAAAAAAAAAGTGTATCATTTGGTGTTGGGGTCTGGGGAGACCCAGCAGCATTGTTGTTGGTCACTAGGGGTCAAATTTGGCCCAATCAAGATTCATCTTTGACATTAGACACCCCTCCCCCACCCCCTTCATACACTGTAACAATAATTTTTCGCAACATGCACCTGGTCTCCCATCCCTCTGCCCCCCCTCCCCCCACGGGAACTCCACCTTTCACAAAGAATATGTACACTAACACTTGAACCTGAACTCACACATGCACGTGGTGTAATGTGTTTTGGGGCCATAACATTAAATAACAACAGGATTGTACGATTATGAATGCATAATAAGTTAGTTATGATGTAGTTAAAACAATATTGGATGATAGTCATTATTTTTGAGTGTTTTGGACTGAGATAAATCATGGGTCAAAATTGACCCGCGAACACCATGAACGGTAACAGCTTTCGAACACAACACAAGGGTTAACAGAAAGTGACACATTTCCAATCTGTTAGGAGTAAATAAAAGTAATATTGATTAAGATTAGCATCACTATTCACAAAAACCCAATCTTCTTCCTCTAAAAACAGACAACATCCCAGTTCTATCAACTCAGGTATGCAATAACGTTGTTCAATATCGCAATATTACTTTGAACAAATACACAGATATTAATGTGTATTCAGTATTGTCTTTCTGCTACTCGAAGTGTACCGCTAAAATACAACAAATTGCCCGTTCAATAAAAAAATGAAAGGAAATTACTTCCAACAATATTTGATTGAACACATTTGACATTGAAGGACACACAAAAAATACTACATTTGAAATTGCCTTTTTTTTTTAAACTGATACTCTCTTTCAACTAAATCTCAATGGTTTATCCCACAAGTTGATGACAGTAAAACATCATATTGTTCAGCATCATATTGTGCAGCATTACGTGTCTAGCTAAAAAACTGTTAGATGGAAACACTAGAAAGTTAGTATGAGATAACGTTCTTCCCTCTTATGAACTAGCGACGTTAGCTCATTTGGCTAGCTAGGTAGCTACAGCTAACATGATCTGCTAGCCACAATTTAGATTTCAGCCGTCCAAGTGATACTTGCTTGCTATACAGTAAATGCGAAGACTAGCTGCTCATGTGTACTAAGCTCTTACTCTAATTGGTGTTTGACAGATTGCGTGGTAAATGTGCACTAATTATAACTGCAAATCAAATATTATTTTGCGAGGACGAAGAGGAAAAACTCAGAAAGCTTTTAAAGTATGTCTCTGGCTTTTATAAAAGTAAAGAGATTTCTCTGCAGTATCTGGTAGCCGTGGATTTGTCATTCGTTCCGTTGTGTGAGCGTCTCCTGTGTCAGCGGTGGCATTGAAACCTCACACTCTCTGCTCTGTCTCCAAGATCAAGTATTCCAACTCAAAGCCACAACTTATTGAGATGGAGGATCCTTTTAACCCCAGACTTGCTCCTAACCAATGACATTTCCCGTCCCAAATCAAAAGCAGGACAGGGCTCAGCGAACCCTCTTCACTGCCTCTTCAGCTCTTCAGACAGATGGATTAGATCATGCAGATGTGGTAAGAGAAACTACTGAAGATGCAGAACTGCTCCCCAAGGACACACTGTTTCTGCTGTTTTCAGTCTCGAGTTATCACAATTTTGGATTATTTGGGGGTCTTCTTTAGGTCTGCAAGTCTGTGAACATCGCCTAATTTGCTTTAAACTGATATTGGCAGAGTTGGCACAAACAGATGTCATGCCCCTTTCCTTTCCAGTCATATTCTTGCGGTCTAAATCACCGATTATTCAACTAAAGCCTCCAACAGTTTCATGAGCTCATCATCAGCAGTCTCAGTTGAAAGATCTCTGCAGACAAACCTGGCATCGGTGCAAAAACTATTATCAAAACAGCATCTGTAATTGCTTCTGTTGTGGTTTCAGACATAGCTGTTAAGTCACCGCCCTGCACCATCAAACGCAGTGATGTCATTCTGAGAGAAACTAGGCATCAGCTACTGGTTTCTTCTTCCAACGAGGGATTAAGAGCAGAGGTTCCCCATCGTATTTTGGCTTAAGACCCCAATTTCTGATCTAACTCCACTTTATTTGCATACTTGAAATGAAAGAAAACCCTACGAGAAACTCAACAATGGGTTCCACCTCCAGGGTTGAGAAACTATGTCCTAATAGTCAAATAAACGTTCTGGAATAGGGCAAAAAGATGTGGAATAAATCTACTAGCTAACAAGTAGTATCTGAAAAACTTAAATTGTATGTATTTTTGATAACGGGTGGCTAGAAGTTGTGTTTAGTTGTAACTAATGTTTTATGTCTTGTCCTTGTATGTTTATTTGTAAAGCAACCTTGAGGTTATGAAAGGCGCTATATAAATTCAAGTTATTATTATTAATGATAAGTTCAGAGATATCTGTACTTCATGATTTTCTGTTGAATCATTTCTAATGAAATCCGAAGAAGCCGCTCAATTGTACATACCAATACGTCATCATTATATATACATATTGTATATACAGTACCAAAAAAGTACGAGGTTCTATCCAAAACTTTTTCGGATGGAAAACCATACAAATTCAAGTCGAAGCGAGCAAACTATAAACTGTAGTTGAAGGTCACTCTTTAAAACATTTTTCATAAAAACCCTTTTGGTAAATGAAACCCTTAAGAAACCCTATGAGAATGTTTTTTTTTACAAGTTAAGTCCAATGCTTCTTGCCTGTCATACATTTTTGTATCTGTTAATCTACAAATGTGAAGAATGGTGATGCTCTAGAGCTCTTGCTTGGCAAATATTCCAGGTAAAAGTAAAAACCATAGGTTCAGCCTCACCTCTGAGCTCAGTAGCGGCGGTGCAGTTCGACGAGGCCTTCCAGCGGTCCTGGTGCTTTTTAAACTCCTGCACCCGGCACATGTAGAGTCCTCGATCCCCCTCGGACACGTTCAGGATCACCAGGTCAAAGATCTTCCCCTGCTTCACCACCGTCAGCTTCAGTTTGGGCCACGTGAAGCTCTTCGTGTAGTTCCCGTAGAAGCGTGCCTTCCTCATGTTGACGCGGGCGATCAGGAGTTCGTCTTCCGGTCGGTCCGTGCCCTCGGGCAGGAACGTCCATTTCACCACCGGTAGAGCGGCGTTTCGTCTCCGCTGAGACACAACACAGGAGAGCGTGATGTTTTGACCCTCCTGGGCCACCGTGAAGGGGTAAGGGGTGATGGTGACGTTAATGGCCAAACACCAATCTGGAGAAGACGTACACAAGTTATTTAAAGTCATAAGGTACAAACAAAGACTGAATCCTGACCCCGGTGGTCTGGACTTCACTCTGGGGGGTCTGTGTGTTAATTCTGTGTACGTTCTGCTTTTAAAGTACACTTAAAGGTCACCTATTGTGCAAAAGGCACTTTTTCATGTCTTTTATACATGAACATGTGTCCCCTCTTCTTCATGTCTCTTCTACATCAACATGTGTCCCCTCTTCTTCATGTCTCTTCTACATCAACATGTGTCCCCTCTGTGTAAAGAGACTCTGAAAGTTTCAGGAACAAAGATTCTCTCTCTTTTTGTCCTGATCCATTTATATAAGAACCTGTCTGAAAATGAGCTGATCAGATTTTGGCCACTTTGTGATGTCATAACGATTTGTTGGCTTGTGTAACCATTAGCCAATCACCAACCAAGGTAGTTCCTGTCTTTCCAAGTGTTTCATTGTGGACAGGGATGGTTTCGAAAATGACCTGAAGAAAATACTCTGCTTTGAGTCATTTTCAAAGATAATTTAAGTAGACGTATGCTCGAACATGCCTAAAGACACCTAACACATACTGATGCCAGGTTTCAAAGATAATCGTGTAGTAAAAGCATGATATTGTGACAGGCCTCACCTCAGTTTTTGTCCCAGTCAATAATGATCTGTTCATTCATGCTACGATTACACTTTTTATCCAACATGGAGGAAAAGTCCTCAAGGGTTCTGAGAGAAATACATCAACGTTTGTTTGTCCAATCATGGGGCTAAGTTCAGGATTCCCAACATATTAATGCAACTGAAAAATTAGTTGATAGATATTTAAAGCTTGAGCTGAGTTTCAGACTCAAGTACTGACCAATTAACAGTTCCCAAAATAGAAATAGTACTATGAGGATTTGCATTAAAGTTGGTATCACAACCCGAAGGCCTGCTTGAAATGCTTAAGAAAACAAGGTAAAATAACCAGCCTGACAAATAAAGTTAAAGGTTGTTCTACGAATAAAAGTAATCTCTGATATCCATACAGTCCTCATCTGTAATGGGGCCATTGTTGCTCAACAGTCTTTTCCCGTCTCGCTGACAGCCGTATTGTTTTTGGACGGTGACGACATACGTTGGATGAATTTTGAGGAACAAACTTTACTGCTGCATGTGTTACAATATATCACACATCTGTTCTTTCACAATGCACACTTCACACATAGGCATTTCCCTGTGACACACATTTTACTGTTTTACAGCTCAGTATGTAATTAAAACATTTTTTACAGTTTTGTCTTTCATTAAGAGCGACAGAACAAAACAATGAAAGGATAATTGAGTGGCAGAAAAGTGTTGTTTGTTGACTTTGAACTCTTAAACTGCTCAATTAAATAATCTCTTTTGACAGAAACTCACTCAAATTCCCATAAATTAATTTAGAAGTGCTCTGTTTTACTTTGAAAACCACCAATTTTCACTTTGGAATTGACTCTCATCTTCTCAAACACATGCAACTTTTTAAAAGAAACTTGCCAACACCCTGCAACCCAACTTATTTTAGCAGAAACTAGTAAAGTATGTAAAGAAATGTCAGAGAGGCTGTGGCTCAGTGGTTAGTGTGCTGGACTCCAAATCAGGGGATAGAAAGTTCAAGTCCCACTGCAGTCAGCATGTCGTTGTGTCCCTGAGACACTTCACCCCAGATTGCTCCTGTGGGGATTGTCCACAGTACTGAATGTATGTATGTCGCTTTGGATAAAAGCGTCTAACATGTAATGTAATGTCAGTTGACAGACAATCCTATGTTAAAAAAACACTTTTCTCCGTCTCCTCACCCAACATTTTCACATTTTCTGCAAAGTTTCTCAGAAGAACATTGGAAAACATTTTGTCTCCACCACCACATCCACTTTGGTACAAACAGAATAAACTTTTCCTACCTCCAAGCAGAGCTCGAGTGAGGAGAGCGAAGACCACAGAGGAGATCTTCATTTTCCACGGCTGCAGCCTCCATACACTCCCAGTTAAATGCCTCTGAAGAAAAGAAGCCCCAGGTTTCCTCCTCTTCTTCTTCTTCTTCTTCTTCTTCTTCTTGTTCTACTCTTTTTTTCTTCCCCCAGCTGAGGAGTGTAATATGAAACATTGGACGCTCTGTTTCTACTCAGAACCTCCCTCTGCCCCTCCCTCCACTCATGTCACACACAACACATTTGGGCAGGCACACACACACACACACACACACACGCATGCACACACACACGCACACACGCACGCACGCACGCACGCACGCACACACACACAGACACACACACACACACACACATCTGCTTTTGGCGAGTGAGTGGGAAATGTAATTTCCTGTGCAGGATGGGGGGAGGGAGGAGGAGGGAGGGGTGGTGTTGTTGAGATTGACGCCGAGAAAATCACACTTCCAGCTGTGGAGGACAGCGGGTGCAGAGCAACACCAGGAACACACACACACACACACACTATAATATTGAATTATTAGAGTTTATATACCAAAAAGGTACAAGTATGTATAATAAAAACACTTATAATAATAAACTGTGGAGTCAAATGACAAATATTAAGACCCTTAAATAAATCATTTCCACATAATAACCCATTAAACCAACCATGTTTAATACTCTGGCATTATAGCACAACATTTTATTATATCAGCCTTTCAATCTAGAGAGAAAATGTGTATTTTTAAGGATTTTTCACCAAATTGTGCCATTTTTCTCACGTTTGCCAAATACACGCTATTTTACCAGCTATGTGTATTAAAAAAAAAAAATGCCTCAAATCAATACTTATATCCCAGACTGTGAGAAGAAAAAAACACCTAAGCATTTAGTTTACATAAAATAATTCAGCTTTTGTTGGGTTTTTAAAAACAGTTGCATTATGTAAATAAACTGGCATTTAAAGGGTTTAAGACCATTCAGAAAGTTAATAAATATGTGTAAGTCATCATCAGGATGATTAAAAGAAAGAGATACACTCAGTGGAACCGGGAAATAATATTAATATATAAGATAGTAGGGCAGTTGTTTGACACAGGTAGACTTTCGTTCCACCTCTACAGACATCAGAGAGACTTCTTTTGGGTTTGTTAAGTGTTAAAGTTACTAAATGACCTTCAAGTGTTAAACTGGTGCGGTTGCTCATCCTGCTTTTACCCCATAATATATAACTCATGTCTCTACAGTGTGTCTCCATTTCTCTCCCCTCTCCTGTAACAGGACCCCACAGTGAATCTTTGTCAGCTCGGGGTTTTTGGGACACTCTTCTGGCTTTTATTAAACCTCAGAGAGCGGCGCTGCGAGGATCTGGGACACTTGTGATGAACAGATAATAAAGCAGACGGTCTGCGGGGCCTCAGAAGTGCTTTTAGTCTGGTGACAGTTTGATGGACATGGATGTTCCCCGGACAAAGAAGTCCACTTAACCAAACCTCTTTACCTTCAGCATGCAGGGCAACGTGTTATATGGGATTCAATGAATTAGGACTCTAAACACTATTTTTGCTTATTATCAGTTCTGTAAACAGATATTTTCTGATTCTTGTGCGTCAGAATAAAAGCCAATAGACTAACCCTTTTTCACAAACCCTAATCCCTAACATTCCTAATTTCTAACCTGAAAGAGCCGGTCTTGCACATTTGCATAAACCTAAGAAACCTAAGGAAAACTGCAAATCCGTAATTGTGAGTCAACCTCACGTAAGGGTTAGGGTTAGGGTTTTCAGAACAACTAAAATGTCTATATGCAGGTGTAGAAAATGTACTTACTTCTTATGCTAAAGAATGTATTTAGAACCAAAATGTGGAACTAAAAATAAGACGTTTCACATTAAGTTGTCACAAGAGCTGCAAGCGGTGCGTGAGATTCTACACCCAGTCTTAGACAATTTTTCCTAAACCAACAAGTCCAAATAAGGAGCGAATTAAGTACATGAGTCATGAGTTGTAGCGTTAAAAAAAGGGGTGAAACATTACATTTAGATTATTTTGAATGACATAGGGATTGCATGCTTCATTATTCTGGTTTTGATCCAAAAATGTTCAAGGTGGGTTGTGCGAGCAACAATTTGTTGGCAGGACATCTCAATATTTAATCCAGAATGGTATTTTTACAGATATTTTCCCAGCAAGAGGAAGCTAAAATGATAGAAAATGCAGAGTTGGATGATAATTACCTTATGATTCAATATGACACCTACGTAGTAAAAGTGCTACAAACGAATAAAGAGCTTTTTAATTTACACAGATTTGATTGAAAAGTGGACTTGTTTGTCTCCAGAAGGTAAGTATTGCCCCCTTGTGGGAAATGCATGAAATACTTATTATTCCACAGGTTTTCTGCTGAGTTGTGCTTAATCATCTGTGTGCAGATTCATGTGATTTTTTAAATGTATTTATTCTTATTTTTTTAATTCAACAAATCCAAGATTAACATGTACAGTCAAGGCACAAGGAAACACAGATGGTAGCCCTCCCATGAGTTGGGAAAGGAAGTTATTTTCTAAGTAAGAGTGAGGAAAAAAACACAAATACACCAACCATATTTACTATTTACATACATTGTTAAGCAACACAACTTTTGAATATTGACACATATTCTATTGAGGTTTAATTACAATTGTGTGTGTGTGTGTGTGTGTGTGTGTGTGTGTGTGTGTGTGTGTGTGTGTGTGTGGCCTAGCATTACCATCCTTGTGGGGACCTACATCTGTTTACACAGTCACGTGTGGGGACTCGCCCCCCTTATGGGGACATAATGGAGGTCCCCATGAGGGGAATCATTAATTTTAGGGTGAAGACTTGGTTAAGGCTAGGGTTAGGGTAAGGGTTAGGGTTAGGGTAAGGGTTAGGGTTAGGCATGTGTTGGTTATGGTTAAGGTTAGGATAAGTCTCCAGGAAATGCATGTAAGTCAATGTAATGTCCCCTGAAGTGATGTATACATGGTATGTGTGTGTGTGTGTGTGTGTGTGTGTGTGTGTGTGTGTGTGTGTGTGTGTGTGTGTGTGTGTGTCATAGAACATGAAGCAGCATGGTTGTCCGTTCACCCAGACGTCACTTTGGCAAGGTTCACAGCTTCGTGAAGTCACTCAGCTCCCCCCCCGTCACGCTGCCTTCCCGCGATGTTCTGGAGCGATTAGAGTGCTGAGAGTGAATTTGTGGGGCTGTGGTGGAGAGGAAGAGAAGGTTCTTTTGTGGAAACTAGTGAAAATTCTGCTCATTTCCAGGTTCATATCAGTATTTAGTGTCTCAACTGGGACATGTCTCCATGCTTTAATGTTCAAAAAGCTCTTTATTTTTCTCATACTGCCTGTGCTGCAGCACCTCTTTTCACCCTCTGTCTGAAACCAGAGCCCAGTTTGCTCTGATTGGTTAGCTGGCTGGCTCTGTTGTGATTGGTCAACCACTTAGAGATGTCCCGCCCCTTAGCCTATCACGTACAATGTGTTGGAGCGCTGGCCAATAGAGGTGCAACTGATACATAATGATGTTAGAAAGTAAACAAAAGGACTTTGGGATTTTAGTCTTTTCAGACCATTTACTTGCATACAAACCTATATAACACACTTTGGGAAAGGGACATGCCCAAAAAGCAGAATAGGGCCTCTTTTAAATCATCCACCAGTTTTCAAGGTTAATATCTTAACTCTTTAGGTTAGCTTTAGGCTACCATATGTAGGTTCAAACTGTTTGATAAGTACACCATGATGTAAATATACAGTATCATACAAAGCACAGTGTATGGAAGCCCTGAGACACGTAAAAAAACGTTTCGTTGTTGTTGTAATACTAATTCTAGCCACAACAGGCAACATTAACCCATCTTCAAAGTGAGTTTTAGTTGATTTGTTGATTCTAAACACAAGTTACAAACTGTTTACTATGTGAGACTCTTAAAAAGGTAAATATAAGAGGAAGAAATAGGTCGTCTAAACAGTAATGTATGATATGATCACCTCACCTGTGGATCCATCACAGAGTTTCTCCCTGCAGACCATGAGAATAATACATCCGGCCACTAGGAACACGCCGGTCCCAGCTCCGATCAGAGCGTACTTTATATCTGGAAGGAAAACAAGCGGCAGACATCAACAAACAAGATGGAACGTGACACCCGAGACGTGAAGAGACGGGGAAGAGAATATGTCTGATTTCACAACTTGTTTACTCCATGGCAGATTAAATCCTCAGTCATGGTATCACGCTGCTTTCTGAAAACTTCATTGCATCAAGTGTGTTTGCAATATGAATCCAGAACAACCAGGAATCAGTGAGAGGGGGGGGGGGGGTCAGTGTTTGTCAATGTGAGTGTTTGTGTTCTTTAACAAAACAATGGCAGTATAGTATAGACATATTTCTGCATACTGTATGAAGCATATTCACTTCAAATAAGTGGTTGGAAAATATTCGAGAAATTTTGACCTAATGACCTTTGAAAGATTCCTTTGTGCCTGAATAAAAATAAAACAATCACATTCAAGATGAATTTACTGCAGTGTCTATATCTCCCCATATATGTGTATCATTTATTTTTTTAAATGAGGAAGGGTATGACCTGGCAGCCATGTTGAAAATAGATAAGGAATATACAAAAAAAAGGCCTAAACGGATTGAAAAGCAACGTAAAAAAAAAACATCTCGATGTGGACAAAGCCTTAGATTCATGAACCAATTTAAAACACATATATTTTTCTCTTGAACAATGTTAATATTCACAGACCCGAAAAACACCGAAACATAAAAACCAAACCCATCTTAATGGTTGGATAACAATAGGGTTAGATGAATAAATACATTTTGTAATTTAACTGAAATTACCCTTTAAGATTTTGCTCTGAAATGTAATACTTTTACACATGACTTAAGGACAAACAAGTCCTTAAAGTTGCATGGTTGTATTTCAAAATGTTTCTACCCTGGTATTTTGGGTCATGCTGTGGGTGTTTCAACACGTAACCCGTATATGGACTCTTTAAAACTAACCTCTAAATTGTTGTGTGTTCAGCGAAACCTGTTGACCCACCTAGTTCCTCTGCAGGGTCGGATCCATCTCCTCTCACAGCCAGCAGCAGATA